TTTTTTTTTTGATACATATGTGTGTTTTTTCTTCATTGACAATCACTTGTTCCATGCATCTAACTCATATAAATCATAATCAACTGAATGGGGTAGAATAAAAACTACTTCTCGAAAAATTGCTATTTTAAAACGAAATCTAAAAAAAATTTCAATAAAAAGTGAATCAATTTTTTTTTGTCCAATTGAAGTGAATCAAGAAAATTTTGTTCAATAAAAGTGAACCAAAAAAAAAATTTCACTGGGTTTTTTCAGTGTAAAATACACTAAAATGATTTTTTTTTTTGGGTTCACTTTTATTGAACAATTTTTTTTGGTTCACTTCAATTGGACGAAAAAAAATTGATTCACTTTTAATCGAAAGTTTTTTTTAGGTTTCGTGTTTAAACATTTTTCGAGAAGTAGTTTTTATTCTACCCCATTCAACTGAAAGTAAGAAAACGTTTGCACGTTTTCCGGTTGTTGCTTTTTTTCTGTGTATCTTTTCTTAAGCTTATTTCAGTACTTATTACGTATTGTTTGTTCTCTTTTTTGCTGTAAAACGTAATATTAAATTTACAACTCTTTATGGTCATGGTAGTAGCAGTAGCCGTAAATCTTCCTCTTTTCTCTTGAGCTTGTCATTTATTTTTCATACTTTATTTGCCACTATTTCCTTTTTTGTGTGATGGAAACCAACAGCCTTCCCGTTGAATTAATAAAACAAAGAAAATCTTTCTTTTTCACGAAGACGAATTTATTTTGAATTTTCGTTATTTTTTTCCTTATAAGAAATCAAACATGTTAACACCAAATGCCGATTAAACAATGGATAATATGATAAAACCAGTGGAAAAATTAGAAAAAAAATATTTCATTAAGAAATAAATCACAAAAAAAATGAGTGAATCTGATATCAATGTCCAATAGATTTTGAATTTGTGCGTTTCAAACGAACATTGATTAAGACAAATTCAAGTGTTAGACACATCAAAATGATTTTGAAAATGGACCCAGACGAACTATTCACAATTAAAGTACAATATTTAGCCGACACTGATCCTTATAATTGTTTGTCAATGTATCCAATACCATCACGAGCACCAACCTATTCATTCACCTATTCGACACCTTTGGCAACTCAATTGGGAAGCATTTTGATTTTATTGGGCGCACCACAACGGGTGAGAGTTTAGTTTAAATAAATTATGTGCAAATTATTAAAAAAAACTATTATGTTTACTAAATTAAAAAAATATCTGTAAAAAAAAAACGGTTTTGGAATTATATTAATAATGGGCCTATTTAAAATTTGCGGTAATCACTATTGACAATGCTGAGTAGCAATCTGATTGCTGAAGATCCTCAATGCTGTCGGATATAAGCATTCGTCACATACATTCATGTTGAGCGCAAACATTTTTCGGAAACATTCAAACACTTGAAATTACTTTCGGTATACCAAATTAAAGATTTTCAGGACACATTCTATTGAAGAAATAAATGTAATTTGTGAGATTATGATGACAAAGTCAATATGCTAAATTAGAGTTCGAGAAGCAGTTTTTTTTAATCTTCGTTCCCCTGAAAGTATTCTTTCCGACCATGCAATGGAGCTGGTTACATATATATCCCAGATAACTTTGGAATTTTTGCGTTTTGGTATGTTTGGTGATACCGAACGCCCTACCGCCCAACCCGAAATATTCTCGGTTCGTGGTTGTGCGGCCATCAGTCGGACATTCGGGTGGCTCTGTTTACTGAGTGACCATTTGGACCTCTGAATTTCTACATAGCCAATTCCATTGTTTCAGTCTCAAGCCGCTATGCAGTGAGTGTACAACATTTACATTTAACGCAAGTGAAACGATTTAACGATATCATTGACTTGTTTATGACAGCTGAAAGATTAAAAGTTCACAAATGGAATGTATAAATTTGCCATGCCAATTTAATTCAAAGCGTTTCAATTTCACGTGACTTGATTGTTCGCAAAATATCACTATTTTTTGAATATGCGAATGAATTTAACGTATGTTCATGCATACCACAACGATGTCCCCAATATATATTGGGATAAGGTGATCACTGTCAAGGCAACGACACTACCATACATAAGCATTATTGCGTGGATTTAATACTGTTCAGCAAAATATAGTTGAGAAATGAGTGTGTAGCAATAATCCGTATACAATAATGATAATAATATTATTCCATGATTGATTTGATTTCATTCAATGCCACCAATTATGTTACTATAATATAGTCAAACATTTCAAATTGCAGCAGTTATCTTGACTGCACCGACGCAATTGATATTCGTCAAAATATCTTTACTCACAGCGAATACAAGCGAAAGAACGAACATACGAAAAAAGCAATGTATGTGCAAGCAAACTGTGTTTTCGAATGTAGAAGTGAAAGAGTACCAACCACACGATGTGTCTTCGTTTGGATTTCTTGTGAATGCTGTGCGCCGCAAATGTCATTGACTTGCAACTTTTATTCTCCAAACTGACTTAAATCGGAATATCAAGTAGTGTGTAGACAACAAAGCACAGAAGTGGTTGTGTTGCATACACACATACGCACGCTATGTAAAAATAATAGGAAGTAAAACACAGAATCGAGTCACATGTAGCGTGTATCGCTTTTACGTTAAGTTCTTAATAATTACCAAGATCATAATACGGTTCTTTTTGATGAGCGTAAACGAGATGATATTTGTATAAATAGAAAAATTGTGATTTTCCCATAACACACGATGACTGATGAGGCATTAGTGATTTTTTAAACACCTTTTTGGGTGCATGCATTTTTTTTTATCTAATATGAAAATTCGCTTCTATTTACAGTTGGATGATGCGACATTACAGGTGTACAAAGATGGCGATTATGGCGCCTACTTAGATTTGGAGTCGTCTCTTGCCGAACAATCGGAGGAACTAGAAGGACTGCATTCAAAGTACGTATTTTTTTATTTAACATACTTACTTAGAAATTTCATAATTTAAAGGACTGTTTATGTTTTCATTTTTTTTTTTTTTGATCGGATATTTCAGCGTAATAACCCACATTTATTTTATATTATTTTTCATGTGTTGATTTGTGGATTTTTTGTGGAAAATTAATTTTCCAAAAAATCTTACAGTTTTTGTTGGATTGATTTCTTGCTGGTTTTTGTTTTGTGTCAAAATACTTCCGGTTGAAGTAAAAAAAATGAAATCACAAAAATTTCTCTTCGATCTAGAAAAATCTAGATTACTCAGAAAATCTTGCACTATACTGAAAATATGAAGAACATATACGTGGAATTGTTTTTTTAGATTCATTTTTAGAACAGGTTGCTGCCAATACATTTTTTTTGGATTCCAATATGTACAAGATATTCATAATAATGCTTTTGTTTTCCATTTCAATGTATTATCTTCAAAGCGAACCGTCAGTACCACATGGGAAATAAATTCTTTTAAAAGAAAAAGAAAAAAATTCAAAATCCTACTTATACAGTAGATTTCATCATACCATTGTTTGTAAATCTAACTGAACGAATATTATCCGAATGTACAAATTGGCATTCTTTTGGATTTATTGTCGGTATGAGATGTAGAAAAATGGCAAGAACAAATTGCCTTTGAGTTTGTTGCTGGAATGAATTTATTCATCAGTTGTATTATGCTTGTACTTTGTATGACAAAAAATCAATACAATAAGAATGAAAAATGCATTTATACGATATTAAATTATATTTAAAAAAAAATGGTCATCTATATAAAGGAAAAATGTTCTTGAACGGCCCGTCATTTTATTCATTAGTAATTAAGTATTATCGATAACAACTGCTAAAATAGTATGTTTATCCTATGCTCTCCGACAGATTGTTATTGTCGTTTTACATTTTTTAAACGATTCTCCTTGTTTTTTTTTAGTATAACACATTCAACACCAAAATATGTAAAAGACTTCTCTTGTCTTTCGCGATAAAAAAACACATAAAACAACATCATGTTAATGCCATGTTAACATAAAACTAAGCCGATAATGATACGACATTCTATGGACTAACATGTTGTTCGATTCAATTGAATGTATCCACCAGAGCTGGGCACGAACATCAATATCCGACTGTGATCGGTCGTTTGTGTGCGTTTTTTTCCTTTTTTGTGATCGGTCGTTCGTTCGTTGAAGTTATTAATGGTCGGTCGGTCGTTCGTAAAAATTGAAATGTTCGTTTGTATGTGCGATCGAACACCGAACACGTGCGGACGTCCGGATGTTCGAAGCAAAATTGTAAAATCAGGGTTGTTAAATCATTTATAATCGTACAAATTTAAAGAAAAAAATATTTAAATAAATAAATTTTCAAATAATTTCTAATTCATATAAATTTTGTGTCTCAAGTGTTCAAAATATAAATTTTTTTTATTACGAAATGTTATGAAATTCATCTATATTTATTTCATCATTGAGAATGTGAGGTTATTTCAGGGAAAGACTATACCAAATATATGGAATTTCCTAAAATTCGTAATAAGGAAATTTAATATTTTGTTAGTGTTCAAATTAAAATTCATTTATTTAATTATTATTATATTTTGTAAATTTCAAAAAATTTAACAGAGAATTGTAAACTTGACTTGACAATTTTTGCGCCGAACATCCGGACGTCCGGACGTGTTCGGTGTTCGATCGCACATGCGAACGAACACAACGAACATTTCAATTTTTACGAACGACCGACCGATCATTAATGATTTCAACGAACGAACGACCGACCACAAAAACATATTTTTTCAATGTACGAACGAACGACCGACTGTTCGTGCCCAGCTCTGGTATCCACTATCTATTTTTCAAGAATTTTATTCAAAATTTTGAATGGATTAAGTTATTTTTATCATAAGAATTGTATATTTCACATCCAACTTTGGAACATATTTTATTGGTTGTTCTTTTTTTCTTTTTCATTTCTTTCAGCAGTCGAAAAAATTCGCTGGTTGTACGTACACAGCTAAGCGTAAGAGTGCATGCAATTATTGGTAAGTCATTTTCATGTTTAAAATCATAATAATTTTAGTAATTAAAATTCAAAAGTTAATTAAAATTCAGATTGAATGGCGACCAGAGCCCATTAAAGTGGCAACCACAACAAATTTCTTTCCAAACAATAGCGTAAAATTCCATAACATATATTTAGACAAATGTTCCGATTAGTAGCGGTTCTCTGAGTTTATTTCTTGAGTTATTCTTGTAACCGTGTTCGTTTCTCAATTCAATTTGTATTTAGTAGGAGAGAGAAAAAAATTGCAGAAAAGAAAATGAAGGCGATCGATAAAAAATAAGCATTTTAAAGTACTCGCGCGTCTTATATTGGAATAATATGACGATATTTAACACGCGTCAATAAATGAATAGTTGATGTGAATTAATCTCATTTGTGCGTCAGATTGCGCTCACTGGCACACCGATCATTTGTCGACCGCATTGCTGCGTCGACATGACGAAATACAATGGAATATGATGGAAGAAAAGAAAGAAGAAGACGAATAAGCAGAAACATTAAGAAAATGTGCATTATGTTTTCAAGTTTTCTCAATCACATTAAAACTCTATTTCTCCATTTTCTTCTGCATACTTCATTCTCTGTATCTGAACAATTGATCGCAAACTTCGAAAATGATTCTCAAGAACCGACTGGGTGATATTTCTGTATGCGTCAATTGATCTTTCGTAATGCTTAGAATTGATGATTCAAATCAACTATTGGAGAGAATAATCGGTAACGTTGTGAATATTATGTGACTATATTTTGGTACAGCAAATCAAACACGGAACTTGTGTCCATAGTGATTTATTTCATTAGATGATATAAAAAACCACAACATGAACAATGAAAAACCACATTTGCTTACACTCGGTACACAATAATTTTGATTTTTCTCTCCATTAATCAAATAAGAGCTGATGGGCAAATCAGAAACATCAATGAACAAAAGCAACCAAAACACTGACTTGCAATATTACGTTACGCAACGATCGTATTTAATCAAAACAATACACAATTTCTTAGTTCGAAAGAATATTCTGAATATTATGGGATGTTTGACAGATGACTCAATAGTTTCTTTTTAATATTTTGTGGTTGTTGCTTGAAATTAAAAATGAACGGAGAAAAATGAACTTATCTCACATGTACATATGATTCCTTAGTCTGTTTTTTCCATTTCTTGCAGCATAATTGGTAGTTCAGTTTGTCTTATAAATGGAAAAGAGAAAAAAATAATATATTGTGTAATATTCGCGCTTTGAGATTTTATTGAGTTTTATCGCATTCTTTACTTATTTCAATCTACTAATTGGCCATATTCAAGAAACTGAATTGGCCTGAGTCGATCCTATAAAAATCGCAAATCAAAATCGTGATTTTTAAAAATCACGATGAAAAGAAAGGAAAAAAATTAAATAAACCATCAACGAGCCACCGTTTCATTAGTTGTTCTGTTTCTTTTTGAACATTTTCTCTCTTTACCCTCCTACGCAAATGTTTGTTGAACTGTATTGACGACGATTGTCGAATAGAAACGCTTAGTTTACTGAACGATATCTGTTCAATGGTGTCGCCAAAACGCGTATATTTGGCGGAAATTTGTGCACCGGCTATGTCGGGTACCTCCTTCATGGTAGAAAGAGCTTTTGGCACTGAGTTTTGACTACATTAATACAGGCATTTCAGAAGATATTTGTACTGAAATTTGACCGACATTCTACTAGTGAATTATAAAAATTCGTAAAATGAAAATTTTCTGTTTTCCAACACGAAATCATAGGAAAACAATTTAAAAAAAAACCACATTTGCGTCAAAAAGTTTCAAAACTATTTAAAAAAACATATGTCACAGAAAATAGAGACATTTGAAAATTTTACATCCGCCAACCGCTGTCAAATTTTCCAATCATTTCAATGAGTAAACAAAGATTTATTCAAGTTGTAGTTAATGTTTCATTTCCTGATAAAGCATTTAGTTAGACACATGAAATTTCTTTGCGGCAAATTTCAATGGCCAAAAATTCTTGAATGTATTGAAAAAACTAACAGAAGTCACTTGATGGATCATTTCTTCTTCGTGTCGAAGACACTGTACTGTCATAGTTCTGAGTCAATATTTTTTTTGCATAATCTTTAAGAGAGGAAAAGGTGGACGTTCTACTGAGCCAAAAATTCGCTTTATGAAAAATATTCCCTTTTTCATTCAGACTGAATCAGATTAAATCAATTTTAAAAAAGAACTCTGAATTGTGATGAAATAAAAAAGAAGTTAGTTGGTTTCAGGAGGACGAAGTGAGTTTTGTGAGCATTGAAAAATGTGCCAAACACTACGTTGCGAATAATTTCAATTTATTTTGAACGAAATGCTTGAAAAGATGCACGTTTTTTTGGACTTGATAATGGGTGAATGCTTGCATAACAAAAAGGCATCCAATAAAATGAATTTTATTTTAGAATTCAAGCAAATTCTATCGTTTCATTCATTGTGATAGTTAAAGTGGCTTTGAAAAAGACGATCACGATTTTATTTTTTGTGTACTGATTTTTATTTGTTTGTTTCGCTTTCAGAAAAACTCTTAACATCAGAGGGACGAGAGTTACGACGTGCGTTGTTCTCATTGAAACAGATATTTCAAGATGATAAAGATTTGGTGCACGGTTTTGTTGCACTAGGTGGACTTAACTCGCTGGTTCGAGTTGGCAACAATTCCGATCAAAATTATCAAAATTATATTTTGCGTGCTCTTGGCCAGGTAAGAACCCGTGATATTCAGTTTGACCTCGATATATTTATGCCAAATCAACGAATATTTAATTGTAGGTGATGCTATACGTTGATGGTATGAATGGTGTTATGCATCACAGTCCAACCATACAATGGCTTTACTCTCTGATTGCATCAAAATATCGATTAGTTGTGAAAACTGCATTAAAACTACTATTGGTCTTCGTTGAATATGTTGAGAGCAATTGCTATTTATTAGTGAATGCAATTCATGTGGTTGATGCCGCTCAAGATTCATTACCTTGGTCAAATATTATGAGGTAAGTGCATTTCAAAACCAAATAAATTTTTATTTTAAAAAAAATATTGTGCAGTTTCAATGCATTGAAGATTATTTTAACTTTCTTTGGATTCGTTCGGTCATGCATTCACATCTAACGGAACCAAAACGTGCACACTTCAGTTCGTGTAGCATATTAAAATTTTGCGATAATCTCATAACCATACCAGAATACAAACAATAATAATAATAATAATAATAATAGTTCAAAAGAAGAAAAACCGTGATGTTATTATGCACGTTCTTACTTGCCATTTAATATTCTTTATTTTTCATTCGTAGTAGTCTTGTGCTGAACTTTTAAATAGTTTTTTTTTTCCGAAACTTGATTGATCCTTATTAGAATGTATATTGTAGTCTTAACACAATTGCCTTTAAAAGGTGCATCATATGAAACTATGGTCGCGATTTGTTTATGTTTTTGTTTTTGCTTAAAGGTTATTGAAAGACTATGAAAATGCAGATACGGAACTGCTGATTTATGCAACGACTTTAATTAATAAAACTCTATCGGGGCTCAATGATCAGGACAGTTTTTACGACGAAAGTGATTTTCTTGAACAACAAGGAATGGAAAGTGTGATACAGCGATACATGTCACGCCCGGGCACCGATTTAGATCTTTTGGATCAGCTTCAGCTTTACGATGCAGTATTAAAGTATGATATTCATGAGCATTTATAATAAAATAGCAAGCAAATTTACCAATTTTATTTTGAACTAAAATTTTCGGTTGAAATTATGATTCAGATTTGAGGACGGAGAAACGGATGGCATTCGAATACCAGATAAATCGATTCGCAAAACACCACGATGTAGATCGCTCAATGCAAATGGTAGTGATCCGTTGGAGCGAAGAAAGTCGCGTCGTCATAGTTCCGATGCGGCACCGAATTCGGCAGATTCAAAATGTTATAGCCCTCGTACACCGATTGCTATTCATCAAACTGTCGACGAAGATAGTTCAAGTTCAATCAATTCGGGTGAATTAAATGATGTATTTGGTGTAACAAAAGGTGGACATGAAAATGCTGGTGTTACGCCAGGACTTCGTCGGCGGCGTGAACGTGCTGAAAGACAAAAATCATTTTTACGCGAACAACAAGAAGCTGCAGCCGCTGGTTTTCGACCCTTTGACATGAAAGATGATATCATCAATAATCATGGTATTTGAATAGTTTTTTTTTGTTGTTGAAAAACAAAACACTAACATTTTCGCATGTGCTTGCATTATTTTCTGACTTTTTCTGCGGATGAAGATGAAAATAGCTCATGCATTGTACAAATTGATTTTTGTAAAAAAAAAAAAATATTTCGAATATATATATGACGTATATAAAATTAAAAAACTATGCATGGGCTACTTTGATACTCACCAATGACTTTGTGTTTGACATAGGTTTTTTTTGTTTGTTTTTTCGTTAACTAACCATTCAGGCGTGTTAGTGACTGCTTTACCATGTCGTCTTCAGAATGATAGTCCTCCAAATTCAATAGATCAGCCGAATTTGAATAAAGAAAATGATTCACAAAAATTATTGAACACAATAACCGATTCCCAGCCACGAATTAACGAAAACAATAATTTGATAAAAACATCAAAGTTTCTACCGGAAAGCGCCATTGACGAGTCAAACTATGTGAATCTCAATGACATCACCGCAAAATGTAAAGTGATTTCAAGTGATTTTACACGGAATTCACAACGAACGAAAGAAAGTCCAGTTAACGGCGTGGAAAAGACAAACCAAAACCATATCAATGTGATTGACAATAAAAATAACCTAGTGAATAATTTTTACTTACACATCAATTCATCATCGACAATAAACAATGCATACAACGCAACCAAACCAATCATATCGATTGTGAATCAAAAAAATCTTAACAATATGGCAAAAAATAGCCAAAACCCTGTCACCACCAATGGCAATTCAAATAATCTGATCAGTGGTTTCACCACAAATGCAAATGGTTTGATTAACAATTTCAATGCTAATAATAATAACAATATTAATAGTAATATGAATAGTAACGGTAACAGTGTGCTAAATGATGCTACAATCGATACAAAATCCATAACGACAAATGGTGTCGATTACAATAAAAATGGATTGCCTGCTGTGTCCACAACACATATGAACGATGTGAATACAAATGGACACCAGATACAGGCCACAAATAAAAGTGGAATATGTAATAATATAACACCACAAACTTATGTGATACATAATGGAAATGGATTAACCAATGGTAATAATGGCATTAAGGAAATGCCAAGGATCGACAGTAATAAGGGTGAGTATGTCATGGATATGCAATACTAAATATTGTCTAAATTGAGTGCAATGCAACTAATTTTGAATAAAATGCCTTTTCACCAAAGTGAAAATAACTATTATCCAATGTTACTATAATATTATTTCGTATTTATAAAAAAAAAATTAATCATATTCTCCATCATCAGATTCGGAAAACGACGAGAAACGTTTGTTATTGCAAATAAAACGTGATCACACTGTCAAAGATCTCACGCAAAAGCTAAGCAGTTTACCAATAAATGCACAAGAAGAGAAAACCCAAAATCGCATTGGCGATATGAGTGGACTGATCTCAAAAGCCAAAGAGGGTCTTGCCAAAAGCAAAAGCAAAGGAGACATTTCTAGGTAAGAAGTGTTTATTGTGAAACTTATGCAATATCTTTTTAATTGGAGCGTTTTTTATTTGATTCAGATCGCCGAGCAAAGACCAAGAAATTAGAAAACCCGAACCAAAAAAGTCCGAAAACGAGCTGCATTGGGAAGAACTAATGAAAAATATGACAAGACCATTAAATTTATGCGATTTAGATTTTACTGATCTGCATTCAGATGATGATAAAGACGATTTATTACCGCGTGGTCTAGGTGGTTCGGTACCTCCACCACCACCTCCAATTGGCATACCACCACCCATGAAAGCAATGCTGTCTACATTAGAACCACCGCCACCAAACATGCGTCAAATGAACGGATTGAAGACAACAACGTCACCAACAAACAATGCGTTAATCAAAAAGAATAAAAAAACGGTGCGGTCTCATTCTTTTTTTTTATTTTAGAAAATAAAATTCACCTATCACATTCTTTTTTAGGTGAAATTGTTTTGGAAAGAAATTCGGGAGGATCTGATTCCGGTTCATGTGGGAAAAACTATTTGGGACGAAATACCAACTGCTATAATCGATACACAGAAATTGGAACATTTATTTGAATCACGTGCAAAAGATACGATATCAAAGGTACACAAAGTTATTAAAATTAACAAAAAATTCGGTGAAGGGGAAAAAATTCGGTGCAAATAAAAGAGAAGATCTCTTTAGACTTCTAACCTTGAATTTACTAAAGAAAATTTAGAAGAAAAATACGGTGCTTCTGTCTTTTTCATAACCTTGTGTTAGAGATCATGCACATAATTCATTCATAACAATTCACATAATTTTAATAATGATAAAAACCGGGCCTTTCAATAAATAAGGAAAAATAAAATGATTTTTTTTTTTTGAGAAATTTACCAATTCGATTTTGAAACCCATAAAAAACGTGAAATTATTAACACATATTAATTCAAAGTCACGCACTACTTCGACGGTATTCATTCAATTAAAATTTGTTTTTGAAATGTTATGATAAAAAATTTCAAAGAGGTTGAGACTTAACATCATTGGTTATATAAAGAATTTTTCTTTTTATGCATGTTCAAATCCATACACTTTTAAAATATAAGTCAGTATTAAGTACTATGCGCGAGATAGATACAATGATTTCCCTTTAAATTCTACCTTTGTAGCATTGAATTCCATTACCCAAATTATATATATGTACATAAATGACTAAATTTGCGTTTTTGTCTTACTGAACATTTTCTACTATTCTTTCTGGGGGGAAAAACACTTGTATTATGTGTATGTGCATAAAAACAGGAGGTGAGTGCATTTTTGCCAATCTTTTCGACAGCTTTTGAGTGAATGCATAAGTTTCGGAGGATCTTTTGACTGTGTGTGTAGAATTATTGAAGAACACGCAATCGTCCTATGAATTCTTCTGAGCACTGATCAGGATTTTTCTTGAGAATTTTGAAAGAGAAGATCATCTTTAAATCTTCACTTTGCCAGAGACGAAGTTCACACTAGATATAATGAGATTTTGGAAGTACAAGCCAAAAAACAGGTTTTCACTTCTTATCGGACTGCACTTATCCCATATATTTTTGGCTATATTTGCAAGTTGGTTGTATTTTTTTCTCAGTAAAATACGTTTCTCTTTTTTATTAATGAAGATTATACATATACAAATAGTTGCAATAAAAAAATATTGTATTTTCTGTTGTTTCCCTGTCAATTGAAATGCTGCAGATTTTTATTTGCATTTCAACACACGATAACTAACAATATTTTTAAAAAAGTCTAGTGTATTAATTATACAAAGTCAAAAAATGTATAAAAACTTATGCACACACCCATACAGCATATAGAGCTTTTAACACCACCATTACTGCTGAAAATGTCGAGTCCTCTAACAAATACCGTACACGTATAGAAAAAGAATAATTGTTTCTGGATATCTGTGTCAACACAAATAGCTAACATAAACAGCCTATTTATATTAAATCACATTTCATACCACTGACATCCTCAGAATAGATTATTAAAATAATAAAGAAAACCCAGTAGGTAGTATAGTAAATTCCTGTAGAATACAAACTACTACAACTCTGTCCCCTCTTTCCATTGCTTATTTGGTTGGAATGATTTAATGCATAAATTTAATAAATCCCTTTCAATCATTAGAAACAGCAAGAGATGAACAAAAACAAAGAGATTATTGTGCTTGACCACAAGCGCTCGAACGCGATCAATATTGCAATGACGAAGCTTCCGCCACCGCGAGCAATTAAGGCAGCCATATTGAAAATGGATGCAACAGTTGTGACCCGGGAGGGTATTGATAAGCTACTAAATATGTTGCCAACCGAAGAAGAACGTGGTAAAATCCAAGAAGCGCAAATGATTAATCCAGAACTGCCGCTTGGTAGCGCCGAACAATTCTTACTAACATTGTCATCGATATCCGAACTTTCCGCCCGATTAAAACTGTGGGCATTCAAACTGGATTTTGAGTGTAGCGAGGTTTGTTTGTGCACATTTCGATTATCTCAAGTTGAATCATTAAAAAAATGTTGGTTTTCATTCGATTTTACAGAAGGAAATTGCTGAACCTTTGATGGATTTGAAGCAAGGCTTGGACATACTTCGAAATAATAAGACATTCAAGTGTATTCTTTCCACACTATTATCAATTGGCATTTTTCTAAATGGAGCGCCCGCAAAGGGTTTTCAAATTGAATACTTGGCAAAAGTACCTGAAGTAAAGGATACCGTTCACAAGCATTCATTGCTTCATCATTTGTGTCACATTGTCATGGAATCTTCGACGGACACAACCGATTTATATTCGGAAATCGGTTCAATCACACGGGCATCGAAAGCCGATTTTGCCGATTTGGCACATAATATCACCTACTTAGAATCAGAATGCAAAGCATCCTGGGATCGACTAAAGTTGATTGCCAAACACGATTGTCCACCACAATTAAAACAAAAAATGGTCGATTTTCTGGCTGATTGCGCTGAACGGATAATTATATTGCAAATTGTGCATCGCCGAGTGATCAATCGATATCGCAAGTTTTTGTTATGGTTGGGCGTTCCACAGCATCGTGTTATTGAATCTCGGCCAAATGAAGTGTGCCGCATCATATCCGAATTTGCGCTAGAATATCGAACGACTAGAGAACGCGTTCATCAACAGCTGGAGAAAAAAGCCAATCACCGTGAACGAAATAAAACGCGCGGCAAAATGATCATTGATGTGGCCAAATTTCGATCGAAAGAAGATCGAGCTGATGCTGAATTAAAGTATGACTTCAATGACGTTTTTTATAGCATTCTTTTCATAACATTTTTACCGTTGTTTCAATTTTTAGGCAATTACTTGGATCACAGAGTCCGTCTATGGATAATCTTGATAGTTCATGTCAGTACATTGGATTTAGACGAAGACGGCCAGAGGTGCAACGTTCGCCCGCACTTAAAATGTCCGAAGACACATTCACTGATGGCGACGATGAAATATTGGAGTCGTTGGTAAAAACTGCAACTTCCACACCAAGAACGGCACCACGTGAACGAAAACGTACTCGCAATGCCGACCGAAAATCATGTAAGCATTGAACACACATTTTTGCTCAAGAAAACATTCATCAAGAAACATTTTAAAGAAATTTCTATCACATTCAATATATATATATCGTCTCCGCCAGAGATGACTGAAATGAAATAGTGATTGAAACTTTCGATATAATTAAAAATGTGATATTTATTATGGCTTCAATTCAGTCATCTCTGAGTGACATCCACTTCAAGAATGGAATGTTTATAAATAATGTCGAATTTGGACTATATTGATACGTCTGGTGTAGGGATGTCTTGAAAAGTAATGTAAATTATATTTTTCATAAACGGTAGTTAAAAGATCACGAACTCGAGAAGGTTTCAGAAGTACCACATCACCCTAAGTATAGCGTTGGCGCAATACAGTGATAAATTATTCGGTAAAAAAAAATAAACGAAAGTTTGTAACCCACACCGATTTGTAACATTTGTTTCCCCAATTAACTTAAACAAATGACCCACTATAACTGTGACGATATGCAATTATTTTGAATAACAATAGTCTCTGTGACGCAATCAAATGACACTTGCTTAAAACTTAATTCATGAATGCATTTTACATTTTTTTACTTCCGAATTTTACATCTATTTTACCTCCACAATTAATGCAATTTAATTATAAAATTTAACATCCATGGCTGTTGTTTGTGTTTGACAATATAATTATTTGAATTTAGTTAAAAAGTAATGCAATTTTTTTTCACTTGTTTTTGTTTCCAGTAAGAAGAACACTGAAGAATGGCCTGAGCGAAGAGGAAAAGCAGCACGTTGCTACATTTATAAAAAGTTATTGACACTATCATCAATTTTACATGTATTGCAACTTTTAAATAATGAAAATCATAAATAAACATCATACAAAATTAATACATAAATTATTGAGTCTCAATTTTATTTGTACTTTTCAATAGGAAGTTTAATAAGCGAAAATGAATGGTAAATTTATTATCTTTGAAATAAAACAAAAAATATGAACAATGAATATGATGTGAAAGTTAAGATTCACGCTCGTTTCATGCTTTCTTTGTTTAAATCACGCACATTTCAGACATTCCGAATTCATAGACCGACATTGTTTTCGTAAGAGTAGCTTTTCCACACTTTGATCCACAGTTTCTTATTTTTTGACCATTTTTACTATTTCCATACTGTGAACCTGTACTTTTCGGGAATTTTCGTTTCCGGTACTTTGAACTCGCTCCTTGTTAGAAACCACAAAAATTGCTTTATGAAAATACTTCAGGTCTTTTTTTAGCAGAAACAAATATGACAGAGACACCTGTTTTTCAAATTCCGTATGAAGTATTTACAAAAATGAATTCTAAAAAAGAAAAACTGTACACATTTTGTGTCGCCAAATTTTGAAAAAATAAGCGGTAATAAACCAATTTTTCTTTGCATTTTTCGATATTGTTCCTTCTATGCTGTTCCATTTTTGAACTTCAACATAGACATTTCTGTGTGCCTGTCACAATACTTTTTCTGTACATACGAAAAAAAATAACATTTTCAGAAGAACACCAATTTGTGCGGCAATGGGATATATCAATTAAATGATTCGTTGGTTTTGTCACGTATAATTATGATACAAATAGTGTCGATTGTTTTGTGTTCTATATTGTTTTACTTTTTAGCGTTTTGTTTACTTTTGAAGAAAAAAAACCGGAATGCGTTAAGTTGAATCTACGATAATTTGAATCGATTAAAATGGTAGAAATTAAATTAAAGAAGAAAAAAATGTATGAATGACGCTTTGATCACAAAAGAAAATGAAATATAATTTGTTCTGCTATGGATTTTGTACATGTCAATTCTATATAAATAAAATCATTTCCATGTCATGTGTTCAGTACATTTAAAGTGTCTTACGATGAAGCATCATCAAACTGAAGCATATTTAAAGTGTTAAATTTGGAGGAATGAAAACGGCTGAATATCGATTTTTTCTTCGTTAAAACATTCATTGAGCAAAATAATGTTCATGTCTAGTCGTTTCGAATCGCTTTCGAAAAATGTTCATCGATTAAGTGTAATATTTTTGATCGCTCATATATCAATTACAAATGGCCAATCGAACTTTTATCGAATAAAAAAACCACCAATCGAGTCACCATGGGGTGGTTCACCCAGTGCAAGATGTAAGTGAAGTTTAAACGAAATCGAATACAACTCAATAATTCACTTAAACATTTGATTTGGTTAGTTTTGTCTTTGTTTACTATTTACCAATGGAATAATGGACTATGCACTGCGGCATCTGGCGAATATGGAATGTGTTTGCCTGAGAATGATTGTATTGGACGGCGTGGCATAATTGGTGGACCATGTGCTCAAGGTTATGGCATTTGTTGTGTTTGTAAGTACAAATGACAGATTCGAAATTTCTCTTTGAACTGATATGATATTTGAATTTTAGTTATGGCTTCTTGTGGTGAAATGGTTCGCGAAAATGGTACATATTTTGTAAATCCGAATCATCCCAATCAAGTAAATGATAAATTATATCTTAATTCATAAGCATATATCAATATTAGATTAAATTAAAATCGTATTGCGATTTTATCGCATTGTCTAGTATGAAGCAACCGGAAGTTGTCAATTAACTGTGTTGAAAGCAAATTCAAATATTTGCCAAATTCGATTAGATTTGGAGCATTTCTCAATTGCTGGCCCGGAGCAATTAAATCATGTATGTAATACGGATCAATTTTTAGTTTCGGGCGGAAGTCCTGTACCCACAATTTGCGGAAACTCAATAGGCGAACACAGTAAAAAAAAAACAATATTCTCTCGATAAATGATCCACATTAATATTGATATTATTCATGTAGTGTATATTGATACTGGTGTCGGTGATTCGAATCCGGTGATGCTAACACTGATCACAAGTGGTGCGCCCTTTCCGAGATTGTGGCGCATTCGAATTTCACAAATAGAATGCAGCAGTATATCTCGAGCAGATCCGGGCTGCTTACAATACCATACAGGTATAGATGTAGAATACCATTTGAATGTTGAATTAATTCTCTGACATTTCACTTTATTACACAGGCATTTATGGTCGTGTTAAAAGCTTCAATTTTGACTTCAATGTTGGCAGCCAATTGTCAAATCAAGATTACTCCATATGTATAAGAACGGAGCGGAATTTCTGTAGCGTACAGTATACAGCGTGTGCAGACACAAGTAAAATAATCATTATTGCATCACAATTTTTGATGAAATAACTTAACATTCTTTTTATTAAAGACTCAAATAGATCACGATCCTTTACACTGAGCGGTAACTCAAATACGGCGGTTAACTCAATGGTTGGTGGTGGCTCACAAGGCACTCCAAATGCGTGCGTAAATGACTGGTTACTAATAGGTTGTGCTCGTGTGGCAGATCGATTACCACCATCGAATACGTGCGAAGACCGCATATGCGGTGGAACATTTAATGCCGAAATCAGTGCAATGGAGAAAACTGTTACTAGTAGGAATCGTATTATTATGATAAAAACGCCAATATAATACCAATAATTGGAATTTGAATAATTTGATATTTGATTTTAGGCAGTGTGAGACCTTTTCGTTTGGCTTTTCATAGTGATGCAGTCGAAGCACCAAATGACATAGATAACAAAGGCTTTTGCTTAGGTAATTATGTTCAATAGATGTATTTATTGTTTTAAAAAAACTTGAATATATGTTCATTTTTTCATTCTAGATTATGTCCAACAACCATGCACAAATGGTTGAATTGAAGAAAAAACACAACAATAAGATGTGTAATTAAATCGAAAACAAAACGAAATTTATTAACTGTGAGATCGTTGTTTTATAGTTATACAAAAAACATACGTGCATAAGGTTTAAATAATTTATCTTTGATGATTTGATTTAAAAAAAATATAAATCAGACATTATATTGAGATATTGTCAGCTAGCTGAGTCATCTCACGCTGCTATAGTCAGCTAGAAATGATTGTAATGTTGTTTGTAAAAACTGAAGTGTTTTTAGACCTATAACAATAATTTCTTTTGTTGTCGCTACATTTCGGCTGATTCATCTGGCCGAGAATATCTCAATAACTATAATGTCTGATATAAATAAGAACAATTTTCTCATTTTTAAATAATGTTTATTAGTTGGTGAAAAGACAAAGTTCTTATTATTAGATTAACAAAATGTCCTATGCATATTTTTCAATAAAATGAAGAAGAATTTAAGAATTTTTTATTACTATTATACATTTTTATTTTTCATTGGGATTATTTTTTAACTGAATTTATCACCTCATTTTTCAAAAATGGCACATCGTACGATTGTATATTCGTTATTATTATGTTGTCCCTTTTTTGTTGTTTTTTTTTTTAAATAGAGATGATGTTTTATGGATGATAATTTTAAATTGAAAATGTGCATCGTTCACGTAATTAGTGCTGGTCGGAGATTTTTCCGAAAACTAATTAGTATTTTCGGCAAAATTGCACTTAATGTGTTCAGGTAAAACAAATAATAACATAGAATAATTTAATTTTTTGTCATTAGTGAAACTATCTAGTTTTTATGACGTGAAATGCAATATGCAAAACAATTTCTCTTGATTGTTATCCTTTAATGATCTTTTGTTGTTTAAATAGATTCATCCACCTATATTCAGAAATAGATATATGGTTTAAAAATAACTAAAACGTTTTTTGTTTCTACTTTTTATTTGAATTTATTTATTAATTTTCTAGAAAAAATGCTTGTATTTAACAAAGAACTTACTGACTGACTAAAGTAA